TAGCCATTCCTGACTACATGTTAGGAGCCTGGACTTCTGGTGTGGGTTTGTTTTTCAAATGTAAGAATTGTCTTGCTCCCTTGGATAAATACAATTTGCTACTCACTTTATAGATGTGCTGGAGCTTTTGCAGCCTTTACAATCTGTCATGTAAATCCATATTCAAGTGTCAACGTGTGAAGGGGCTGCTTTAGAGGTCCTCTGGGTGAAAGCATAAGTGGAATTTCTCGAGGAAATGCTCTCAAAGATGACTAATTTGTCTATTTAGCCAGTTGCTTCAGAAATAAGATGGTGATGGTAAGAGTCACTAGACTGAATTCAACGGGTTTTTTTTCCTTTCTACCTGTAACTCACAGCTACCAGAGTTGGAAGTTTTGGTGGGAGACCATGCTGAAAATAAACTATTGAAATTGAGGCTTAGATCCAGGTAAGACAACATCAGCTTCCTTGTACCTCCAAAGCTTGCTACCTTGAATGCCAATTTTGGCTATTCACGGAAAGCAGCCTCAAGTATCTATAGGAAGAGGGATTAATAATATTATTTCTGAGATAATTTCCATGACCACCATCATTATGCTGGTGCTGATCGCAATTTCTTTTGGATGTTTCTCATTTTCCTCACCTTTCGCCCTCTGAAAGGCCAGCTTGCCTTCCTGTGTGGTGTTTCATTCCAAAAGCCAACTGGAAGGGTGGGTGAGAGCAGCGCGTAAGGTGAGCGTGAGTGACTTGGAAACCATCTTTGATGGTGGCTGTTTAACCCTCTTCTCCTTTGTCACACCAGTTGCGTGCTGCTCAAGTTTTCTCCTTTTTAGATGACAGTATTTAAGGAGCCCGTAAAAATTTACTGGAAAGAGGGCGTCGACCCCCTTTAATGCCTAATCTGGCACCCTTTACTTATGCAAATTTAATCAATCGACAACCACTCTTCTCACAACAGCTGCAGTAATACAAGCAACATCAAAGACTTTGTCACAAGTTGCTCTGAAACAGCTCTGGGATTACCAAAACGCAAGATTTGGCCTCCAACTTCACATCCCTGGGCATTCACTCAGGTGAGTAAGCCTTCCAGAATCGGGTCCCTTCTCTCCCCAAATTCAAGCCAAGCACACAGCCTGGGAACAGGCACGCGGAGCCAGCCGAGTGGGCTGAGCACACTCAATCCTAACAAATTACAATAAGAAATGTATCACGCTGCCTGCTGTCAGGTGTAATTTATATCATACCAGAGGGGTGACTGGAGAGCAGGTATAGGCAGGAATTGGTCATACCTATACTTGCTCCTGCTGGGCCTGATCTGGCAAGCTGCTGGGAGCTCTTCCCTCCCACTGAAGTCAACACTGAGTTCTGTCCAGGACCTAACAGGATTGGGCCTCCTCAAAATACTCTGGAAGCATGAACACGATTTGATGATTTCTTTTTTTCTGTTTTCCATCAGCATGTGATGCCTCTGTGTATGCACAGCCTGACTGTGTTTACACACATCCTCACAATCAGTGTGTGTCCTTAAACATACATGTGCGGTATATACTACAAGATAAAAGCCTACTTGGGATTTTGGAGCACAGAGAAAGAAATAGAGCTTGTAACAGAAATAAACAGGAAGTTTATTCCCATAGCTTTCAATTTTAGTGAGCGCAAACTCTATTTTATGTGACTGGAGCTAAGATTTAGCAAAGCATTTCAGCATATGCTTACATCTTTTGCTGACATACAATCTACAAATTTGTTTGATGTCTTCTATTTGAAGCTTTTAAGCTCAGGCTCAAACCAAGAGTTTAATGCTCTGTCCCAAATAACCCAGAACGCTCTGCACACGGATGAGTATGGCCATGCCTCCATACGTGGCTGTGCAGGTTATCTCTGAGCAGAAGCAGGAGTGCTCCGGCAGTATTTCCAGCTGTCTGGCTCAGAAAAGCTCGCTCCTTCCTGCTGCACCTGCGAGGCAGCCAGGGTTCCTCTCCCGGCCAGACTCAGCAAAGACAGTCTGTGCCTTATGGAAGAGATACACCAGGACAGTGAAGCGCCGTCAGGAGCTCCAGCCGTCCCCACGGAAATGACCACGAGAACTTTGCCTTAACCGGGAATGAGAGCAGGCCAGGCTCCATGGGGGTCACCCACCGAGGTCACTAATGCAGCACTGCAGAGAACCACATTTAAAAAAAAATTAAAAAATATTAAGGTGTACCCTCCATCCAGCTTCATAATATATGCAGCAATATGTCCTACTTGGGATGCAGGTCAAGGGTTATCTTTTGCTGTAAAAATATACACGGTTGCTGTTTGATCTTTCTGATTCACAGGTCTGGTCCTGTGAGCTCTTACTCCAGTGAGCACTGAAGTTTCAGCAGCTGCAAAAGCGTTCAAGCCTTGTGAGAAAACACAGCAAGACAAACAACAGGCAGCGGAACATCAGGCAGCACCTCAGCTCCGGTCAGTCACAGTTTTCTACTTTTACTTTAAACGCGGTACAAAACTTGAAGAAACGCACTTTTGTTATTTACCAAACAGGAAAAAAAAGGGTTTAGATCAGTACTCTGTTCTCTTTAAATAAAATCTGTGAATTTATGTATATCCTCCCAAAGCTTCCGTAACTGAAGTTTTTATTAAGTAAGTCTGATATGGGGCATATTTTAAAAATAGTGTCAGCGGTAGTATTTTAAAATGGGGAAACAGATGTGCTATTCCATCACAACTGCTGCATCTTCTCTATATTTTTTTATACTGTGAAGCATTTGTCTGCTTCTCTGTTATAAATCTCTCCCCACTGAAGAGATTTCTTCTCTCTGATTAAAGAAGTACCACACAGACATCATTAAAGAGACAGTCAAGAAAAACCACACTGTTTTGGCTTAGCCATAAAACAGAGGTATTTTAATAATTGTTTCTTCTCCATAGAGAATTTCAGCAGCTCCCTCTCTTTGGAATGAAATCACAGCCATATGCTTTATGACATCAGAGGCGTTTCAAGGTGTCTCCATAAATGTCATTTACTGCTTGGGAACCTGCCAAATCTGTGCAAAAATCCCTAGTTCTTTTCGATGAAAACTCTTCAAATGAAACTAGAGCTTTGCACTGGTTGTCATACCCCCAAAAAAATAAATCTATCCCTTTATGGAAATATTGGCCATGCAGGTAGCAAAAGCTCTGTCAGGGAAACCTGCTGACCTGGGCTCTGGTTTGCTTTTGCATCAACGGTGCCTCCTTTAAGGAGTCCGCCGGGCACCCTGCCACCGCACATCCACGCCTTCCCGCGGGTACCCGCACTTCTCAAAAAGCAGCGGTCTGAATGGCAAACAGCTGAACTGTCTAGAGATCACAACTGTAAATGAAAATCCGGTATACTTTAACGCAGTGCTCCAATGAATATGCTTTAAGCCTTAAAAGCGCGATCCCTTCCACACTCCCATCACAGGCCTGATGCTGCCCAGGAACCTCCATCCTTCCCGGTGCCCAGTACCACGCAGGACTGGGAGCCAGGCAAATCGTAAAGAGACTCTGTGTCGTATACACAAATACACTCTCATGCCACATCTACTCATACTTTGAGGTATCTGTAGTCCACTCTGTGATAACACTGGCCAGATCTCCATCAATCTTGTCAGCCATGTCACCAACCTGTCCAGCACAACCCGGCTACCTTGGAGCACGCAAAGACTCACTCCAACCCGTGGCTGCAAGCAGGCAGAGCTGCTGCTGGCCACCACCCAGAGGGACGACCGCTGGCACTGGGGTGAGGATTTTGGGTGGCCAACAGAAGCATCCAGTAGTCCCAGTGTAATACAGCTGTTCAGTTTTCTTGAAGGAAGGAAAAAAATGATTTTTTCCCCTACATCTGAAGGAACAAAGTTGCTTGGTGCAGTTGGCAATGATCTAGGGCAGCACACCAACAGGTGCTTCAAACGCGTCGGCAGAGAGCGGAAGATGTTGAGAGGGAAAATGAATAGACTGTCTAAATAATACATAAATTTTACAGGCTTTTTTTTTCTGTAGAACCCCAGTGAAGTTACTGTATAAATCGGAAACTGAATTATTCATAACTGGCGAATATATAAGAAATCGTATTTCGCATTGCGATATTCCTCCCAGGTACATGCCTCTTGCCATGCAACGACCAGAACCGGGCAGCGAGCCTGAGAGCGCCAGGGTCTTACCTGGAGTCCGGGTACTTTGTCAAGGTAGCCAGGCTGCTGGTGTACATGTGTCCTCCTACATCGATGTGCACGGGAGCGTTCGACTTGGTGAGCTGAGCTGGGAGAGGAATTCCTTGAGCAGCCAGAGGAGAAACCGGGGACCGTGTTAGAGACAGGCGGGACATGCTTCTTCCCTCCTGCAAGGGAAGGCAAAAAAGAACAGTTTCTCTTAAACGTAGCAGTGCGTTACCTTTCTTTCCAGTGTGATCACAGATCTAATCAGATCATTTTTGCATCTGCCTGATCACATATTCAGCTAACAAATTATTGCCACCACTGTAATTAAGTGTATTTGCATCATTTTCTTCAAAGTACCAGAGGGGAAGAGAAAGATGCTTATTAGCAATAAGAAATCAAGAAAAAAATTTTTCAAGGTGTCAGCCTCAAGGGGCATAAAACAAACTGCAAAATTCTAATTAAAGGTCGCGGGCTTATGTGTTAGATGTGAAATATCCCCTGACAAACGAATAACCAATTTGTGAATTGGGATTCAGGGGTTTTTGCAACTTTGTCTCAGTAACGAGACACCTCTAAATTAGTGACTTCCTCAGTACCTAAGGCATTTAGTTTATACATGTAGTAAATTTCACATCAAACTAAGATCAATTTTCTGGTTTACTTTCAATAACTGTGAAATAAATGGGTAATTTTCAGTTAAGCCTTAATATTAGACATAAAGAACTAATAAGCTTTCAAACTGAAAGCAATTAATACCTGGAAGCAGTGAAAACAGGAAGATATATAAACTGACCCATGGTTTCATGACAAGACGCGTTAGAAATTACTGTACGATCTGGCATGTGAAATCACAAATTCAGCAATCCACCTCGTGTTTACTGCCCTAAAAATATTTGAAAATGAGCGAAATTTCTGAATTGAGTCCAAAAACCTTCAGCTGACGTACAAAGCAAAAAATACTGAAATGTCTTAAAAACGAACAGGACAACCATAGCAAAAGAAAATTCCTCAATTCTCTTCCGTAAGAAAAGCACAGCTTATCCTGCATGAAACGTGTGTCTCAAAGCTCATTTCAGTTAAATCGGTACAGACGGCATACATGTCAAACGGGAAAAAACCCTTTATAAAAAGTTTAAGAAAATGTCCATTCATTCTCCCCCTTATGGGTAAAGCAACATAGGCAAAACGTTACAGCTGAAGACATTTCCGAATATAATCTAATTTTCTTGGTATTTTGTTCTGCAAGCATGCTACCAAGCACCCAGGCTCTTCCTTACATCTGACAAGCACTTTACATGCAGCATCGCAAAGTGAATTCCCATTTCTCCCACATTACTTTGACAATGTTTCTTAGAAATCTGAAGCTGGTCTCGCCTTTCTCTGAGCAGTATTTTGCACAAGATGCCTGGCTACGCCACTCCACGCACACGCAGTTACCAGCCCTCTTTGTAAAGACAAATTCTGAGCTATATAGAAAGGGACCGAAAAATCTTAATACATCCAGACGGCTTCACAAAGTCATCACTACATCTCCGTTTGCTGTATTCCATCTCGGTTAGCTCCTTAGGATTCCCTGCACCTACAGCACAGAAATACATCACCCCATTATGAATCCACATCCTTTTCTCCTCGGAGGCTGGACGGACATCTGCACTGAACACGAAGCAAACAGCAACTCTGTCCTAGGACTTCTGTGGCAGCCGCTGCGAAATTGGGCATTAACATTTTTACTACAGCACCACCTTCAAGGAAAGTGACTGAATCCTTTCATGACTGAAGAGGTTGCTTTCTTGTTTCCCACAAGAGCCTGTTGTGGGCAATCTTCAGTAAGTCTGTCACGCAGCACAAATAACAGCGCTAACTTTTAAAAACAACTTAGTATGTAGGTACCTACAGTATTCTAGCGATGTGTTTACTAATCTGTGGGTGCCTCAGCTGTCTGCCAACACAGACAAAGGGAGTATTTTTTTCTTACCAAAGAGCACTGTAAACTCATGTTCACTCTCTACTCCTTCACTTAAATGAAAGGGTCAGAAGATCCAGGCTGAATGTCAACCCTGTCTTTGTTCAGACCCCAACTATTATCACTAATGATAAAGGTACAGACCTCGCGCAGTACAGAGCTGCCTCAGAAATCAATCTCAGGCAGTTTCACAAAACAAGTGCCTAATTAGGGCTGATCTGCACCCCTTGTTACAATTTCCAAATGAAATCAAAGGACTTCCAGTCCTCTGCAAACGCGTCTTACATTTAACCGTTTGTCTCGAAATACAGACTTCCATTTTAAAATATGCACAGATAGCTAAAGATCAAGTGATCTGAATCTATTTGTGCATATTTAAGCACTGCTGCTATCTTAGGATTTTGTTTAATGTTAGTATACCAGTAAATTCCTTGATCTGTAAAAAGTCTGAGGTTCTCAGTGAGGCCATACTCACACAGTAGATATTTAATTTATACTATTCACTGGAGGGACCTTTTGAACAATCCTCTGCTTTTGGCATCTCTCAGCTAGAGCATGTGTTGAAAAAACACTTAATTATAGAAAATCACTGGAAAGCTAAAATAGTTCTCAAACTTTTATGGCTTTTCATACTTATTGAGGGTGCCACTGGCTTTTTGGGGGAGGGGAGGAGAAGGGGCACTGCAGCACAGGCTTTTCCCCTGGATGGAGAGGATTTGTGTTAAAAAAACGAATCCTACGTTTTTATTGAAGTTATGAAATTCAGCCGTTTTCATATGAGCAAATTATCAAGGGGCATAATTGTTAAGCACTACATAAAGGGCACTGAAAACACTCCTGCTCCAAAAAAATAAATACCCCCCATTCCGTAAGGTACCATAACCCTATTTCTAACAACTCCTTCCTTCCTCTTCTTAATGTAAAACGCAGCTAAAATTCATCACGCTGAGTAATGCACTTATTTTATGCACAAAGCAAAATCCTAAATGTGTTTATCCAGCGAAAGTCTTTATGCACATATTTTCTAATACTGATGTGAAAATTAAAACCTTAAGGGTAAATATAGCAGAAACACTAACAAACTTCATTTATTAAACCATGTAGAATAATCCTTGCTCTTTAGTTGCCTACAACAGGATACAGCATCCCAACCGGTGGCACAGGCAATAACCCCGCTCTAATAAGTAACACAGGAACCTGCTGAAGGCAAAATCAATAGAGCCCGATTCCCAAATTATCTGAATATTTAGTTTTTCAAACATTAGGCACCAAGATCCTTCAGAGCCAGCTTATCTTTTTCTGCCTTTCTAAGCTAACTGCATAAGTACTGCTTGTAAAAACTATTTGCCCATGCAAAGTGAAATAATCACAATGCCATGCTCATTTACACACAAAATGATTTTGTGTCCCATTGTGCTCACAGTTGTTCAGCTCTCTAGGGGTGATTAAACTAGCTATGCTGCTACAGCTTGAGATGATTTCACTGAATCGTTTCTCCATGAAGTTGCTTCTTTGCTAAGCTGTTATTTTAACCATAAAAGGTAAACAGAAGGCAGTTGTAAGAGCTCCATTCAGCTCCGTGCCCAGGGCTATAACCCTGGGGCAGAGAATGCTGAAAGACTGCAGAATTTTCCAGGGTGTTGCCTTTCTTGCTCTAAAGCCTTCAGGAATACTGTTCATTTAATACACACTCTAGATGATACATTTCAGATCCTACTAAAAGAAAGACTTCAAAAGTGTAAGAACTTTTGGGCGGATGAAGCTTTCCCACCTCTGCACATAGCTCGGGGCCATGGTAACCAATACTGCTGTTGATGTTGGGAAAATACAGGAGAAATAGGCTGCGCGGCGCGGAGCGGGCAGGCAGGGACGGGAGGTGAAAGGTTGCGGGAGAGAATCGGGCGGCACTCGGGAAGGGACAGCGAGAAAAACGGGGAAAGAACGAAAAAGGAGGCGGCTCGGAAGGAGGGACGAAGTTAAATCGAGGAGCAGGCACTTAAAAGACTACAGATGGGAAGCAAGACTAATTAAGGATGTAAAAGCGCTTTGTTTCTAAAGTTTATTGTTGCCAGGATAAAAATTAATTGAAACTAATGCTGTTATTCACTCGCGCAGTTTAATTCCTTCATGCACATTTAAGACTGGGAATGAAGCCGGCAGGTTTGGGGA